CCCCATATTATTCTGTCTATTCAAAGGATCCCCAAAAAGCTCTAGTGCACACAGTGGATAAGAAATCATTCCAAAAGAGCAGAAGAGGTTTTGTATGCATTTAGCAGAACTAGTAGAAGGTCATTTTCTCAGGAGCAGTGCAATTCTTAGCAATATGTTGCACCATATTGAGAGGCTTACAAAACAATATAAGAGCTCACTTACTGAGGCATGCCTATGAAACAGCTGTTGTGAAAGTGCTTCTCTGCTTACCCTTTGTCTGGCTACAGTTTCTAATGTCTGTTCTGAACTTCAGGACATGACTCCAGCACAATGTGACTGTAGGCCCTGTATGTGAATCATCAGTGATAATATAACATATTTAGTTTGTACCATAGGCCAATGTTATAAATCCCTCTGTAGGCAATGGCATACTGCACTGTAAGACAACTCAGTGTTAAATAAATCACACATTTGTCAAGAGCATGTGAATTGACTCCAAAGCAAAATTATGTTCCCACGCCATGTAATATAGCTGTCAGAAGAGGAGGTTATCAACCATAGGGTATGACACATACAAATGTAAATGGTAATATTGCGGGGAAGGAGGGAGGGAGAGAAATAAGGCTCTTCTCTGTTGCTGTTCCTGCAATGACCTCATCTCTCTTTCACCCCGCTCTTTTGCTCCATTTCATTTCTGTCTCTCTATCTTTCACTCTCTCCTCGTATCAAGCACACACTCCCACAGCGTTTCTCAAGCACACGTTCCCTCATCCTCGGTCACCCTAACCACCTCATTTCTCCAGCCCACCCTCCTCTCCAACTCTCACTCTGTGCGTAATTCAATCATCCCAAGGAGATGGATATCCGTCCCCTAGGAGCGCTTAGGCTCTCCATTTCCTAAAGCGCTTGATCAGATTAATTGATTGTCCCCCCCCCCTCATCTCTGCGCCCATTCTGCCGACTGAGGCCCAGTGTGGTGGCGGAGGGTGGGAAGAAATCAGGTTTGCATTGATATTTTTATAAAATGGCTTTTCCTTTGGCCCCCAGACAGACATAGACGTAAAAGGACAAAGGGGAATAGATAAAGTACACGAGCCGGGAGAATGGGGGGCAGTGGGCAACACGGAAGAGAAGAAGCCTGCAGGAACAGACAGGCAGGATTTATAAAGGAGGACAAAACAACATCCTGGAGCGTACAGCAGACACAGAGCTGAACAGGAGATTAGGGGACAAGATAAAGCAGATATACGATCAATGACATGGAATAAGCAGGGCTGTTTAGGAGGTGTACGGCACATGTGAGGTTAGGTTTGTGTGCATGCATCTGTGTACCGTGGTGTTTGGCAGCAGGCCCGCAGAGCACAGCAGAGGGCAGAGATGGGAGAGACCAACTAAGCCCCAGAGGGAACGCAGGAAGACCTCAACTCATCCATTATAACTGAGAGCCAAGCGGCTGCCATGTCTCCTGATTGCTGAGTCCCTATGGAGCTCTCTCTCCTCTCTCTTTTTGTCTCCCCCTCTATCTCTCTCTCTCCCTCTTTGGCACTGGGGATGGCAGTAGATTACGGTGCTGTTCCAGGCCTTTGGCTTCTATGTTATGGCAGGGGCCAAATACACGCACAAAAACACTCACGCTCGTGCACTCACACACGCGCGCGGGAACACAAATACACATAGACAGGGATAGGAACTCGCTCGTCTCTCTTATCTATCTGCCGCACATGTTCCCCATACGTGTAAAGCTTTTACCTGAGCGCGCCATTACAGCTGAGGCTTTTACCTCAGGAGAGCCAAATTACCTTTCAGATGCAACCTTCCCTTTTACCACTTGCCCTTGACATTTAGTTCACTTGCATTCCCCCTGTCCTTATAGACTCAAACACACACTATAAACTCACACACACACAAATGCACAAAGTTGGAGGTCCCTTTGCTCCTAATTATTTTGTCATTTAGGCCTCACACATCTTACTCCACTGTAACTTCTACGTTAGGTTACGCGATAGAGCACTCACTTTTGGCAGGATCATACTGTAACCACAAAGAAGAACATGTTCTTTCAAGCATTTAATACTTGGCAACTACAGCCTAGCTTTTCATTTGTTTTACTATAGGAAAGGAAGACTGGTTCCATCAACAGGAATATATTCATCCGATAAAACCGAGCTTCAGTTCTCAGCTTATTGCCTTCGAACAACAAAACAAATACTGTATAACTATCTTTTACCAACACTAATGAATCCAACGGATGTTTCAAAACCATGAAATACAGTTAGGCCTGCAGAAATAATTGTGTTTGATTAATCATTGACGTTTTATGTTTCAACAATTAATCATGGACTTTATCAGAACAACCAAGATGCAATATGTTTTAAATTACAATCGATTTAAATGACTCCCTGGTAAAATAATTAGTTGGTATCAGCTGATCCGATTGAGAATCAACAGAAAAACTCTGCAGATGTATGCAACACTGCTCACACAAGCCAATTCTAAAGTGCCTGCCCAGCGTATAATGCTGGGGAGCTTTATTAATTGAGAGGCTCTTACAGAAAGCATTTAGCGAGCCAAATAGGCTGAGATATACATTCCAGGACTAGTGAATGTTGGCTTTACATTTTACAAGTAGCAATACAAAGGATTCCAAACTTCAACATGCTTTTTGCTTTGCTTTCATTTTGCTTAGTTTTTCTGCTCCATGGCAAGGCAGGTTTATTTCTATAGCACATTTCCACACAAGGCAATTCAATGCGCTCCATGCGTAAATAACCCCAAATATTTTTCAAGCCGATATGACGCGTTGGGGTCGATTTGCAGAATCAAAACACTAATTTTCCAAGAGTAAATTAAAGCAAGTTCAACAAATCAGTTTTTAGTGTATACACATGCACGTATACTTTATCTATGTAGGTTTCCTTTCACAACGGTTTGTTTGCAATCTTACAAAAAGACGCGTACTGTATTCTTTGTAATGTGCAATGCACCATGGTACATGCAGGAACTGGCAAGAGCTTTATCTGACAACATGGTACACACGGTGATGAATGTATTGATCGATGGACCACAATAACATTACTATTACTGATAGGACATCAGCATACAATGTGCTGAAGGGGAACAGAAATGACTTTAGATGTAGGTCAACCGGGGTGAAATTCTGCATCTTTAAACCCACCTTGTCCTATGCAGAAGCTGTCTCTTTATACTGTGTCACATGTTGCAGTTCATGTTTATGTGGGTAAGAGATTAATCATAGTGAATTCATTTCCGTTGGTATACGAACAGTGGATGAGAAGTGGACTGGGTGCAACTGTACAACAGAGCACAGTTCCGACATTGGAACGGACCTGTTTGTGTTTTCATGTTTGCCTGGGCTGCAGTGCAGAGGTAAACATGTACAGACAGCATCTCAGTAGGAGGGGCGCTGAACTCCTGACCTGAATACAGATTCATAAATACAGACGCTCACACTGATAGAAATACAGTACACACACAAACACCACATGCATGCACACTGTATGCTTGAGTACTCAGTCCACAAAAAACTAAATCAACACACTATTTATTTTTCTTTCCGAAAGAGAGCCTCTTTTTTCCCAATACTTTTTTATTTGCTAGGGGGCTGAGCTCTCAGACTTGGATTGATCCGGAGCTACCGTCTTGAACTTGTGCCCCGAGGGCAGCTCAGTGCAAACACACCGCAGCCCCTCTCCACTTACTCCGATCATGGGTGAACTCTCTGTTACACGACTACACCTACATTTAATCACATACCACAGATACACAAAGCAGGTGCTACTGCTACCTTAAGTGCTCAAATCAAACAGAAGGATGATAAAGACTGACTTTAAGGGAACACTAATCACAAAGGAAAATATATCGCCTCCAACACAGACACAACTTTTTAAAAAAAAGACATTTGCTCATAGTCAGTGCAAGTAATCACAATAGACTCGAGCAATAAACTCTTCTTTTGAGGAGGATTTTAGAATGAGCATGTGTATAATTATTGGGGGGAAATCAATAAGCCTAACAGCTGGGCTGGAGATGACAGCAACAATTTCATACACCACATCCCAACGGCTGAGTGCTATTTCATGGGCAGAACACAAAATAAATCCATTATTTTTTTGCAAACGAAAAGATTCATTTGAACATTTTACATAAATAATTCATACAAAGAAAGCTTTTACTGCGTTTTCACCTGAAGACAGACAGCTAACTAGCGGGAAAGCTCACTCACCCACCCACCCATTTCCTTCTCTCTTTGAAGTAGGAGAAACTGGAGAAGTGTATAATTTGTTTGATTCATTTATCGTTGCTTACTATGAATACATGTCATTAATAGTGGTTGCTGCACAGCAGTTGTGAAGTTATAAAATAGCTGGCAGCATAGAGGGGGCTGAAATAAAGCAACATTATAGGAATGCATTCATCCCACACACACTGTGAGGAGTCTAATGGCTCTGTGGAGGCTTGCGCATTGAAACACACACACATGCAGTACACACAAATACATACAATTAGTCTGTTTGTTTGGCTGCGCCTGCCCTGAGTTCCTATAGAGGTTGTGATTGACGGATTCTGTGATTGGGGCTGTGAGACAGGTGGAGCCTTCAAGTGAGCTAATCTACACTGCCTCCTACAGGAGAGCAGGCCACATTGGACCGGTGAATGTGTGAGAGACTGTCATCATCACCTTCCGTCAGCTGACAATGATGACTGTAATTGAGTCTACTATTCAACCACCATGACTGCTTGACAGCAATGGGGGGGGGGGGGGGGGGGGGGGGGGGGGGACTACTGTGTGTGTAGTTGTAAATAAAAAAATATTTGCCTGATAGATGTTTTCTTCTTCTTTGCCAGCTCAGATTTGTATTATTAAGAAGAACTTCCCCCATTCACATTCAGACACACAACATTCCCTGATGGCGAATGTTGCACCTTAGACTTTTTGCTAATGTCGAGTGAAAACCACAAGCATTAGTCAAGTATTGGGAAATGGGAAGCGTTCCTACCTTCCATGCAATGCGGTTGCCTTTGGTGTCATGCTCCAGTGCCATCGGGAACTCCCCGCGCTCGTAGAACTTGCGAAAGGTGGTTGGTTTGGGAGGGCGCTCTCGGAAAGCCCCTGCAGCCGGGGGACCCACCACCTGCTCAGACACAAAGGAGAAAATGGGGGAAATGAAGAGAAAGGAGCAAAACGGAGACAAAAACTGAATGAGGCATACACAGCAAGTGAGAGTGTTGTTTTATTAAATCAGAATTGACTGTGTTTTCTCCTACTAGAATATAATCACTCCCACTGCCTCTTCTTTAAAGTAATTCAGGGAGACACATGTGCCTGCTCCCCTGCTCCTCTAAGGAGAGCAAAACACAGATAGTGTGTGATTGTGTGTGTGAGTGTGTGTGTGTGTGTGTGTGTGTGTGTGTGTGTGTGTGTGTTGTGTGTGTGTGTGTGTGTGTGTGTGTGTGTGTGTGTGTGTTGGCCCTGTAGCCAGAGGCACTGCAAGAGGCATTGTTAGGATCATCTTTTTCTCATGCCTCCATATTGGATATGTGCTATTACAGCGCCCCTGAAAGCCAATGGAACTCCTATCACATCAGCCAGAGTGTCTGCTGCTATTGTTATGGGGGCCATTGGTGGCAGTAGCCTTACAACAGTCATAAGTTAAGGTAACACATTGTAGTAGAAAAGGGAGTGGAGATTTTAAGATTACAAAATAGCAAGTGTCTTCTAAAGGACAAAATAGTGGTATTCAATTTTATAAAACATGTTTTTTTAAAGAGATAGTGAGGTTTTTCAGGTGGGGTTGTTTAAGGCAGAGATGGAGTACTAGAGTCCTGGACTCAGACTCGAGTGCCGATTGATGCGACTCGGACTTGGACTCGTGAATTCTCGCGTACGCTGACTTGGATTCGGACTCGTGAATTTTTCCCCCCACGATGACTCGGACTCGACTTGTACATTGACGCTCTGACTTGGACTCGGACTCGTGAATGTTTCCCCCCACGATGACTCGGACTCGACTTGTACATTGACGCTCTGACTTGGACTCGGACTCGTGAATGTTTCCCCCCACGATGACTCGGACTCGACTTGTACATTGACGCTCTGACTTGGACTCGAGCAAGTTTTCTCTGGAGTCTGATGTCCTCTATCCTGGCATGTGCACCTGTGAGGCGAGTTCACGGACTGTGCCCCGCTATTCCAGTCTAGAGACACACCCCGCATCGTGCTGTATGCTTTCACACATTCTGCTTCCACATTGGAAGCAAAAATGCTCGTTATGTGGAAACAATATTGAAGAGAAGGCTCCGTAACACATTACTCTAAGGATCGAGTTCAGACATGGCTGTCTTGAACACTATCATCAGAGTAACGAGAGATCTAATCAATAAATAAAGATTCAGCTGATAACACGAAAGCACATGGCTACTTAACATGCAGAATGAGGTCATTTTGCATGCTAAGTAGCCATGTTCTTTCTGGGGCTAAGGCCCAATCCCAAACCACTCCCTCGACCCTACCCCTCCGTGACGGAGTGAACTCCGTCTGTAGCCACACTCGCAGCTCAACGAGGCTCCCTCCTGTCAGATGGAGGGAGTAAATACAGCAGCAAGCTTTGGGACGGCCTCCCCTCTCTCCGGCAGAAACAGGAAATGCCGTAACTGTATGTAACAACGGTTTCAAATCAGCATCTCTTAGACAAAAAGTTTAAATGAATAACTCCAAACATCTTTCATTGTGTTTCAAAGCTCTTTTAGTTTTAAACCTGATGTTTATAAGCTTCTTAGTTTTTGCAACGGTCTGTAAATATACACAACTTTATAATAAAATGCACACATTTACCTTTTTCTAGACTAAACACAGGTATGATCCTAAGTTAAAAACATATGAGGTTATCATGAGGTTGTTAACATCGCAATTTATCAGTGGATGTTTGCTGGAACTACTTGTAAACAGCGTGTTTCCTGACGGACACACACAGCGTGACTCCGGTCAGGTAGAGACCGGTCTCAAGTCAGCACCGCTGCAGACTCGCTGTTTGAGGGCTTGATAGCCCACTCCCCCTCCACACTCGTTGCTTTGGAACAGCCCTCAATATGGCGGACCCTCCGCGTGAACGCGCAAACGGAGGGGTAGGGTGTAGGGGTAGGGTGTAGGGGGTAGGGTGTAGGGGGCGGTTTGGGAATGGGCCTTAATCTTTATCAGTAAACCGATTTAACCGGTAAAAGTTCCTTCAAAATAAGAGTCCCGATCTTATTACTATCAAAATAAAAGTGCAAAACGAAAACTTTACCATAGGAAAATATTGGCATACAAATATAATCACTTCTCTAAAAGGTAACTCATTTTAAATATAGTTAGACATACTAAAGGTAATTTACAATAATAATAATAATAATAATATTAGTAATAAGCTTTATATTTGTATAGCACCTATTACAAGAATTGTAGCCAAACTCGCTTCACAGCAGTTCAATAGACAGATTAGTATAACATGACAGGATAAAAGCAATGTAGAGGAGCAGCTACATTTCAACACATGACTTGGACTCTTCTTAGGTGACTCGGACTTGGACTCGGACTCGAACACAGGTAATGATGACTCGACTCGGACACTCCTTGGGTGACTCGGACTTAGACTCGGACTCGAACACAGGTAATGATGACTCGGACTCGACCCGGACACTCCTTGGGTGACTCGGACTTAGACTCGGACTCGAACACAGGTAATGATGACTCGGACTCGACCCGGACACTCCTTGGGTGACTCGGACTCGGACTCTCCCTTGGTGACTCGGACTTGGACTCGGACTCTCCCTTGGTGACTCGGACTTGGACTCGAAGAGTGGTGACTCAAGAGTGACTTGGACTCATGAATTGGTGACTTGACTACAACACTGGTTTAAGGTAATATCTACAGTCAGTGAATTAAATTCGGTAGATGGCACAGGAACACCTGCTTGGAAGAGTAAAGGCATGGGAGCAAAGCAATGTACTTCAGTGGAAGGGGGCAGCAGATAATGTATTTTAGACACCACAAAGAAAGGTCCACTGAGAAAAAATCAATATGAGTGAAGTGTGCGCTTTATTTCGAATATTTTCACTGCTTTATCTTGTTGTCAGAAATCCTTTTCCAATGGGGAAGTAAATACGTTATCAAATACTCTTGCCAAAACCACTAGACAATCTAACTTACTGATGGAGGCAGCAGTACACCAGCAACCCCTGTGTTCTGTGAGGATACATTTCCAATCAGAAAAGGCAGTTTGCTGGCAAGAAATGGCGAATTTTAACAATAAAGCTTACCCCTAAACAGACTTAGATTTATTTTTAGGTTTGCCTTTATTTTAGGTCAGTGCATAGCTTAGCTTTGCTACGCGTACTGCTGTCTTATTCTCAAAACTAGGGGCTTGCCAAGCGTCATTTACTGCTCGTAATAAATTCACTACTGATAAGTACCTCATGCAACTCAACTTCAAAACCTGCAAAATGTTCCTTTAATCTTTGAATGTAAAGATTGTGTGTACAAAAACAATCACACAACATTTAATAGCCTCGAAAGGAGCAATCATCCCAAAATACCTTCAACGAAACACTCCTTCAAGGAAGCGACCTCATCGAGGACCCAATGGGGGAGATTGTACAAGTGGGAGCCACTCATGTACTTGAGGAATATGGATTTAGTTGATTGAAAACATTAGAAACTTGCAGCAGCATGTTGTAGTGGACGAGTGACAGAATGTTGGAGCCAATCGTTTCTCTGTCTGCGTCCCTTGTGTGCGTCCCTCGCCATCTGTGTCGCGCTGCCACATGACTGGCAGATGTGTTGCTGCCATTAATCCTCAGATTACCACCCATTGAGAAAGATAATTTAGCCTCAGCAGCCCACAGGCGGAGCAGAGCGAGACTGGGATGTGTTATCTTTGGCGGCCGCAGGACTGTCTGATATTGGTTTGCATGTTGAGAGAGGGTATTAGTTTATTACTACTCAACACTAGATTGGATTTCCATGTTACATCATTCACTAGTGTTGCCTGTTTGTTGCATAATTCAAAAACAAAATAGATAGAAAGCCTCAAACCACAGATGGAGCTCGGTTAAACCGCCACTCAGGAATGATGCAACATGGTACAACGTTTTTAGGTTACAAGTGTGCCATTGTGTCGCTGGTGCCGTGTCTGAACTCGAGAGAAAACGAGAAGAAAGGGGAAACCATCACCAGGGCTCTGAGTGAGTGTCTCAGAGCACTCAATGCATTTAAACAGCTCTAATGCACCGTGGGATTGCGGCGCAGTCGTTTCAAATGAATCTGTTTGGAGCATTTGTTTACCATGCCAGAGAATGCTGAATAATATTATGCTGAATTAATAGGGACAAGTTTGTATACCTGCAGGAGAGAGACTACAGTACCTTAACAAAATGCCTGTGACTAACAGTGCATGCAAAACAAGAGGAAAGGCACTTTTCTGTATCGCCTGCAGTTAGCTTAAAACAAATGATTCATGATATCATGCATGCCTTTTAAAGTCTTTCAAGTGCTGTTTTCTTTTAACAATCATTTTGCAACGTTTTTTTACAATTACAGCAAGTAAACGTTCAAACACATATTGTTTCGTAAAACCATGTAAACTGTGCACTTCTGTAAAGGAAAGATTGCTTCCAGTTTTTCATGTATTACTTTTTAATCAGTTTATCAATAATTGCTTGAATAAGTTTACTTAGCATTGGTATGAACAGAAAAGTGTCAGCTTGTTAAAATACTGTTCTGTCTCATGATATAAAGCGCAAAGTATAAGTTAAAAGAAAAATCTAATACTTTTGGACATTTCATTTAGACACCAACTGTTTTTCGACTGTGTCTGTTCCATTGCTTTCACTGCAGGAGTTGTTTGGCAGCCCTATGGAAGTAGGAAGCTGTAAAGCATGCAAGATCAGTGCCGCTCCAGCCTACAGGAGTGACAAAGCCCTCACATCCAGGTAGCTACGACGCTGGTTGAGCCATGCTGCACAGGGACGCTAAAAATAGCTCAGACTGGGCAGCAAGGACAGAATGAACCCAGACTGCTTTGACTGGTTGAGTAGCTTTTATGTTCCGAAATGATGACGCTGCACTAGGGCTGCACGATTTGGGGAAAAAAAATT